AAAAAGTGATCCAACAGTTAACAATAAAAATAAATGGAGAAAAGCACTGGGCATCTGCTCTGCATGACTAAACTATGCACATCAGAAAATGAACAACTCCTTGCTGAGCATTATAAAGCAAAGAGATTCTATATCTTTTTGGAAGCAAGACAAACACATGGAAAGAGAAGGGAAGAGTATGGTGGACATAAACAGCTGGACAGAGGAAGGGTGGCTAGGAGCTGGAACCAACTTCCAAGGGAAGTGGTGCTGGCCCCTACCCTGGGGGTCTTTAAGAAGAGGCTGGATGCCTACCTGGCTGGACTCGTTTGAGTCCCATTTCTCTTTTTGGGGTTTTTTGTTGTTCTCCCGCCCTGGCGGGGGGTCGGGCTAGAAGATCTACTAGGTCCCTTCCGACCCTTAATCTATGAATCTATGAATCTATGATGTATGTCAAGAGCTCATTCTCTCTATATATGTGGTTTCCTCAGGAGCTTCATTGACATGCAGTAGGTATGAGGAAGTTTGTGACTGTTCATTCAGACAATACCTCTGATAAAGCCTCAATAAGAGGCTCTAGGGTCAGAAGCTGTCTTGGTTCATCAGGTCTTTACAAACCAAAGGCAATATCTAAGCTATTAACTGTTAGGAATGATCAATTCTGATGTGCGTTACCTGACTGAAATGCTGACTATTTTATTCGTGAATGCTGAGATAAGATGGCTATGAACCTAAAACGATTATTATTCACCCAAGGTTGCAGGCTGTTAATTCTTTGCTCTGCTACATTTTAACTCTGTCTTATTCCAAGGGATTTTTATGTGCTGTACAGCCACATTTAAAGTATCCTAGTTCCATATCACTCTCTCTGCCTGCTTCTCCAACCTAAGTGTTTAACTGCAAAACTGAACAATCTGTCCCGTGTTAAATAAATACTCTCAACATCCAGTGGGAAAAAACAGCTCATCTAGGAATATAAATTCTTGAATTTATGTTTTCTCTAGGGCTGCTCAAAGAGGGAGAAGTCTTCACAATCTACAAGTTTTCAGGGTAGGTAATGTATATTATGATATAATGGGGTTTGAGCATATTCTGCAGCTATGAATTGCCCCTTTTATTGTGTCTTCAGTCAGAATATTGTACTTTCTGAACCAAGCTGTGCCCTCCGTTATACCTAGGGCAACGTCCATGAAATCATCAAACTTAATGCAGCTATCACTGAGACATATATACAGCAACAGACACTGAGAGCAACAGGCTCCACTGGTTTTAACTTGTAGTTATTCCATACTTAAAACCTGTACCAGTGGGCATATCTACATGAAATGCTAATGGTGCAGTAGCCTAACAACACTGCACAGTAGTGTGCCAGGCAAAAACCAAGCTAATACGCTACTGCGCAGTAGTATTAGGCTACTGCTCAGTAAGCACCACTAAACAGCCATGCACCCATGCCACTGCACAGTAGCATGTATTACTGCACATTTATTTAGTACTCTGTTAACCAAGTACTAAATTTAATGTGCAGTAACTAACATTAATGAATGTGTAGACGTGCCCACCGAGAGGCAGATTTAGCTTAATGAAGCCATGTACGCAAGTTATAAGCAAGACATAGTTTGGCCCTTTCTGCATAATCCTGAATTTAAAATTTCATCTCTCTTTCCCAAATGTTATTCAACAACAAGTAATCTAATATTGAAGGGATGTTGCCAACTTGATTTTATTTAAATGGACATTTGGTTTCTGTAACAGACTTTTCCAATACAGGCAGTGTGGACTAATTTCTTTTCAAATTATTTTAGTTTTCCTGCTCTCTGGGTAATACTGGCTTGGACCTTCTCAGCAAGAAACAAATAGACTGAGGATGGACTCCTACATCATTTGCCCTGGATTATGTTAGTAGTGGCTAGAACAAAGCATACTGGACATTATTTACTTGCTGATTTTCATAATGCTGTTTTCTACTGACAGTTATTATCCCTTATTCTCTGCCCTGGATTATGCACAGCAAGCAGTTATACTATTCTGGGCCCAAACTGCAAAGTAGTCTGTGACTCTGAGGACCACATCTGTCTCCCGGTTTCCCACAAACTATAGAGAGTGATAGTACCCTGTTCTGTATTTATCACAGTTCCTCTCCTTGTAGTTGTACAAGGATGCAACTCAATGCTTTATCTCTTTAATGTCTTCTAGGTTTTTGGCAGTTAATTCACGTCATCAGAAACTGCAACCATTACTGTTTGCCTTGTCCGCTCCTTTGAGCACCATAATTTCAGACCTGTGGTATATCATGGAGTTCACTTGGACCAAACCGTAAAGCAGTTTGTTGCATTCGTAAGGAATGGTAAGGACTGTCTTGCTTGTTCACTTGGATCCAATGTGTGGCTGCTGCTGCCAAAGAATGCAGGCAGGAGCACATTCATGGGAAAACTCTGTGGTTACTGAAGTTACCAGATCTGTATTCTCTGGGGGGCAGAGGTGTGGGGTGAGAAGGATGGCATCAGGAAGGGCTGGCAGGGTCTGCACGAGCCCATGAACCTCTATAGCATGTCTGACTATCTTCAGAGACTATCCTTGTGCGCTGCCTTGGAAATCCCCCCATGCTCAGTCATAGCAAGGCCAGAAGCCATGCTGCAATTGGCTCCTTGCCCCAAGCTGCCTGGGTTACCTTGCAGAACAGCTACTCAGAGGGGGTGTTAAGAGGTTTATGGTATCTAAAGAATTCCTGGGCACTCTTTGTACTTGACAAGGAACATACCACTAATTGGCAGAGAGGAAGGTAGCCTCACAAATAGATGGGAGAGAAGAGTTTTGAAGAGTTTTATTTTACAGTATAAGGCTTTACTACGTCTATATTTCTTCTGAAGTACATTTTCCTCTCTATTGAGCTTTGTAATCCATGTAGACCTTGAATTTTAAAGAATGGTTGAACATAACATTGAGTATGACAGCATTTAATTAATTCAGACTGAGCTTCATGCCAGCTTACTGGTTAGAATATCAAATTGATCTTGTATATGCTCAGACGGAGGAATTCATAGTGTGCAGTCCGAAAGCTCAAGAATGGGAAACGAGTGTAAAAAAAAGCTCTGATCCAGGACCACCCATCATATTCATACCACCATGGTGATATTCCAAGACCTGGGCACCAAAGCTGAAATATTTGTACAGTGTTCTTTGGGGGTTTTTTTGTGCTCTTGGAGAGCAGTAGGGGGTAATTAGATTTGAGGAAGTTTGTTGAAACCTACAGTTTTCTACACACCATGTGCAACAGCCAGTACTAAAAACAGACCATATGCATAAATAGCAGTCGATACTAAGCAATTTGATCCTGTAATATGTATTATTGTAATTCAAGGTCATCAGGACATAGTTTATGGTTTGTGTAGAGCTTTTGAAACATCCTGCAGGCAGATACTGTATTTCCTAATACAGGGGTGATCTGATGGCCACCTATACGTTTATCAGGGGTGACCACCAGGATCTGGGGGAACGTTTGTTCACCAGAGCACCCCAAGGGATGACGAGGTTGAACGGTCATAAACTACTGCAAGACCATTTCAGGCTGGACATAAGGAAGAATTTCTTTACTGTCTGAGCCCCCAAGGTCTAGAATAGCCTGCCATTGGAGGTGGTTCAAGCACCTACATTGAACACCTTCAGGAGTAAATTGGATGCTTATCTTGCTGGGATCCTATGACCTCAGCTGACTTCCTGCCCTTTGGGTGGGGGGCTGGACTCAATGATCTTCCGAGGTCCCTTCCAGCCCTAATGTCTATGAAACCTATACTAGGCACAGCATGCATCACTAAACATACCGGTGCAACAACATTAGGATACCAATCTCTCTTCAGCCCGTGTCATGGTGCCCGTCTGTGGTAGCTGGAAGGTCATGGAAAAACGACCCATGAAAAAAAGTATGCCCTTTATAAAGGAGCATGGGACTAGTGAGGCTCCAAGGTCAACCAGAACAGACAGTGAAACGGATGTATACACACATACTGCTGTCAAATGCTCTGTTACACTGAAAGACAAAAATCATTTTTGCTATCTTTTTAAACAGTAATTTTAGGTACTAACTGTAACTATAACACAGACACTTCTCAATCAGAAACAGTGTTTTCAGAGGAATGCATGGGTCTGTACAAAGCTGTATTGTATACAGGAATGACTATCATTAAGAAGCATAAGATTGGAAGGGATTTCACAGGTCACAATCCCCTGCACACATACTGGATTCACTGTTCCTAACCAATCTTACACAGAGGCCTATTCAGCCTCTTCTTGAAAACCTCCAGCGAAGGAGATTCCACAGCTTCCAAAAGCTGCTTGTTCCATTGTATTCATATTCTTATAGGTAAGAAAACTTTCCTGAGGTTTGATCTAAATCTACTTTGATGCACTTTAAATTCTTTGCCTCGTCTCCTGTACCCTGTGGTAAAGAACAATTTTTCATCAACTTCTTTATGGCTTCCTTTCAAATATCTGAAAGCTGCTATCATTTCTCCCTCTCTCCCCTTAATCTCCTTTTCTTCAAACTAAACATACATAGTTCCCTCACACGGCTTGCATTTCAACCCCTTTATTATCTTTGTCATTTGTCTCTGAATCCTGTTCTGTTTCTTTTCATCCCTCTTAAAAAAACATGTCCCCAAACTGAGCACAGGACACCAGTCAAGGCTAACCAACATTGAGTGGTATTATCACCTGCCATGCCTTGCATACCAAGTGCTTTTCTCTGCAGGGCTCTCTGCAGCACAAGAGTTTGAGAGGATGCAAAAATATGCAAGGGAATAACAGAGGTCTAAATCAGAAAACAAAATTTTCACCCAGCAAAGTGAACAATTTATATTTTTATCACCCAACATTAAGATACTATTCCTATAAACTCATGAGTGCACTTAAATGTAGGCATGAAGAAAATGTATATTAAAGTTCAGAATATGAATACGTGTTTGCAGGACTGTGGACTAAATATGAATTCATAGTTTAGGAGTTAGCTGATTAACTGTACTTACCTTCTCCTTGATGTTTGCAGAACTGACTTCTGCCATCTATTCTGATAAGAATGCTCTCTGTAGAAGGGAGAAGGAGTAAGAGAGATTAAATTTTCAGTTTTTAGTGCTGAGAATGCTAAGTGTGAAAGACCTTGTGCAGGTGCATAACTTTATGCATGTGTGCAGCATCAGAAACCAACTCAATATTATGGCTGAATATCAGAGACAACTAATAACCCCCAAAATACGTAACCTGAACAACTAAAATGTCCAATTCTTTCTAAAATTAGATCTAAAAATGTGATACAATATAGTCTGTATCCAATAAATAACTTATATTTGCTGTGTGACATACTGCCAGTATAAATATATGCAGACTGGGTGTCAATCTTTTCCCATCTACATCCTTCTGTCTGCCTTAGTTTGCTCTTTCCTAACACCTTCCAATTTTGAAGGCAGGGTTTGTCCAGGGTGTTTTTGATTTCTCATAATTTGTTATTCAGCAGTGGCTGAACAGTCCCAAAATCAGGTTCTAGGTTTTCTTTAAAAGGCTAATGCTTCTTGAATGTTCTACAAGATGCAACTAAAAGGGTGCTGGTGGAAGTGACTCACATGATTGGCCCCTTGAAAGCACTTTACAGCTGTGCCCTGACAGAAGTGCATGGCTGCAAAATGCTTTAAAAGTGCCCGATTGCATGACAAAGTAACCCTCATTATATGAGGGTTCAGACGAAGGCGCTCCAAAGTGGAGCCCCCTGTGGCTCCACTCCATTCCCACTCCCTCCAGCGCAGGCTGGACAAACCCCAGCCTGGAGTTCCATTCCATCCCTTCTACCCCCTCCCATTACGCAGAGAATACTGGAGTTGGGAGGGAAGGGGGGCAGGGCCAGGACATGCTGCAAACATGCAGCATCTCCTGGATCAGCTCAAAGTGGAGCTCAATCTCCCACTCCCAGCAATCCAACAGGGAACGTCTGTTGGGTTGGAGGAGGGATGGGGGTCACTGTAACTCATGGTGCTTTCTGTGAAGCACCATGAGTTACAGTGGGGGAACTGCACATCTGTCAGCACCCACAATGACTTAATGACTGGCATTTTCAAGGCTGATGGGGATTTTGTCACACATCTCTCTTAACATCCCCATGGGTTGTGTGGCTAACCTTCTAAGTCTGCTTTGAAAATTCTTAGTCTCTCAATTGAGTCTGCCTGAAGCTATTAAAATGTCTGCAGTACTCCTTCATTTACATATCCATTCAGTTTAAAACTGACAGAAATTGCATACAAACAGCAAGGAGCTAAAAGAAGGAAGGAGTCCAATAGTCTAACCTTGTTTCCATCGAAGTCAACTATCGTTGACTTTAGTAGGGGACAGAACTGGGACATAAATTTCTAAACAAGTCATATAAAAAATCTTGGTAAGAGAGAATTTAATTATGATGCAGGCACAGCCAAAGGGAGCAAACCTGATGGTACACAAAATACCTGTACAAGATTATATTGTGGATAAAAAACCCCAAGAATGAAATAATTCTAAGTTTTTAAGTTATACCATTCTCTTTCTCCCTTCTTTCTTCCTTTCCATTACAACCCCTTGCAATCATGCTTAATTCAAAGGAATTCCCATATTTATACTGATTCACTCTCACCGTTGTTGAAAGCAAGTAATCCTCTGAACATTATGCCTTTCTAGTGCAACAAGTCATTGGAATTTGAACTGTAGAAACCAAGTGCTTTCACTGAGGCATGGCCTGAGAGCACTTAATCTTCTTGTGGGTTTTGAGGGTGTATTTGCTTTTCTAATAGAAAAGATGATATTTCAGTAACTGTGTTTTTAAAGATAATGTGACTGTGTTGCACAATGAGAAAAAGAAGGTAAGAAAAAGAAAAGGGTATTAAACACTTCTGAATTCCTGATTTGACAAAGAGAAAGTAGTGGGTAAATTGCCAGCTTTACAGAAATTGTCCAGAAATAGTCTTAGCAGGCCAGAGAAACAGAAATTACTCCTTTTCTTTCCTAACTAACGTAGCTTGAAATGAGGGAGTAAGCTGACTGACTGTCACTGAACATACTTTTTACTGTAACACGGTGCACTAAAGACTAAACTCTACACTCCACACCAGTTCCCAACCTGTATTAGCGACTCCCCTTCTCTTCTCTCCACCCCACACCACAGCTGTGGCCTACCCATGCTTTAATAGCTTCCTATCTGACAACGGGACCACTCCAAATTTCTCAGTGTCGACGGAGTAGTCAACTTGGATCAAGTCTGTCTTTTTAAACTGATGGGGGCAGAGTTTGTGGGGGAGGGAGGCAGGAAATGGGAGCAGGCAACAGTTAAATGGGGAAAAAAACCTCATCTTGGATTCACGAAAATAAGGTACATGTTATTAGCAAAACTCTCCAAGCAGCCAATTTTTTGCTGCCCCACTGTCCGCCCCGAAGTGCCCATGCAGTTGCTGCCAGCATGGAGCTGATGCCAGAGCTGTGGAGCCCAGTGCAGCTGTTTGCAGCCTACCCTCTGCTTGCTTCCTGCAGCTGCCCACAGCCCAGGCTGGCTACAAACAGTTGTGCCAGGCTCTGGAAGCCTGCCATCACCTCTGTGCCAGGAGGAGGGGAGAAACCGGGGCTGTGCTGCCTCAGGCCCCTCCCTTACCGCCCACTCCAATGCATAGGTGCACGCACCGGTGCAGAGCTGATGCCGGAGCCCAGAGCCTGGAGCCCAGCACTGCTGTTTGGAGCCTCTCGGCTGCAGCTGGCCCCAACTCTGGGGAGCTGCTGCCAGCCAGGAGCCTGGGCTGCTCCCAGCAGGCAGCTGGGATGCTGCAAGCCCTGCTGGGAGTAGCCCAGGCTCCAGCAGCTACCCTGTGCCGGGATAGCTGCTGACAGCCACAGAGCCCTGGCTGGGGGGCAGGGGCAGCAGGGCTGGGGGGCACAGAGCAGCAGGGCTGGGGGGCACAAGGAGCATAGGCAGGGCTAGGGGACAGGGTGGCAGGGCAGGGGGGAAGGGGCTTTGGGTGGGGGGCAAGGGGCACAAGTAGGGCATCTTGCCACGTACCCCTTGCACTCATTTTGTTTTTCTGCCATGACGGCATTCCAACACCTTCCAAGGTAGGCATTGTAGTGTTTTTCAGCACTGCGGCCAAAAAACATTGCCTACCCCTGCCTTACACCTTCTAATACAGGGGCGGGTAATTATTTTGGGCAGAGGGCCACTTACCTAGTTTTGGCAAGCTGTCAAGGGCCACATGGGTAGCCCTGCCCATTGACAGGTGCCCCTCAACCTGGTAACCATCTTGGGACCAATGTCCCAATGTCTTGGGACAGAAGGCAGCTTACCTAGTTTTGGCAAGCTGTCGAGGACCACATGGGTAGCCCTGCCCATTGACAGGTGCCCCTCACCCTGGTCACCATCTTGGGACCAATGTTTCAGGGCAAGCACTGGTGGGGCCCAAAGAGGGGCGCAGGCTGGCAGGGTTCTGTGGAGCTGGGTGCAGGCTGCACCAGCAGGGAGGGGGGGAAGCTGGCCCGGCTCCATCAAGCCCCTGCCAGCTGGGAACCTGTACTCCTGCAGCCCTGCTCTGGGCCCCGCCAGCGCTGGTACCGGGACACTGGTGTGGACCCTGTGCTCCTGCTGGCCCCCCACCCACTCACTCCCAGTGCCCCCAGTCCTGTGGTAAAGGGGGGGGCAGCGTGCAGCCCCAACCCCCTGGTCGACAGCAGGGAAGGAGCTGCTGCTGAGCATGGGGAAAAGTGGCCCCTCCCCTGCCCCATGGCCCATACTCCTTGCTGCAGCCACTCACAACCCATGCACGCACAGGCAGCCCCATGCAGGCTGTAAGCAGGCTGCAGTGTGGGGCACCAGGCATGGGGCAGGCAAGGGGCCGTTTTTCCCTGCGCTCAACAACAGCTTGTAACCTGCCCCTGCAGCCAGCCTAGGCCCCATACTGGTTCCGGGCTCACCCAGCGGGGCTGCATTGGTGTGGAGGAAAGCAACCGCCCCCTGCTTGCCATGCTGGGCAGTGTTTGCTGCTGCCTTCCCGGTGCTTGCACACTGGACAGCCCATGGGCGGTGGGGAAAAACACTGCCCAGCGCAGCAAGCAGGGGGTGCTGCTTTCCTCTGTGCCAAGCTGCTGCTCCCACCATGGCACAGCCCCGACGGGCAAGCCCGGAGCCAGCGCGGGGCCCAGGCTGGCTATCGGGGCAGGTTACAAGCTGGTGCTGACCATGGGGAAAAGCAGCCCCTCGTCTACCCCGTGCCCAGTGCTCTGTGCTGCAGCTGCTTGCAGCCCGCATGGGGCTGCCTGTGCCTGCTCAGGACAGCCCCGCATGGGCTATGAGTGGCTGCAGCAGGGAGCACTGGCCACGAGGCGGGGAAGAGCTGCTTTTCCCTGTGTTCAGCTTTTCCCCGGGCCGCTTTTCCCTGGGGTCCTCCCCTGCCCTTCTCCCCCACTTATCTGAGGTTCCCACACTGGGGTAGCCACATCCTCCCAGGCCAGAAGCCCTACTGGGGCTTCTGGCTGGGGGGCAGGGCTGGGCGGGCCCTGCTGTTGCAGAAGCCTGGCAGAGCTTCCCCTGGGTCCTACTGCCCCTGGCTCCTGTCATTTTTGACGGGAACCAAGGGCAGATAAATATTAATTTTCTAAATCTTTAGGGGCCCAGCAGGCTGGATAGAATGGCCTCATGGGCTGGATGTGGCCCATGGGCGTTTTTTGCCCACCCCTGCACTATATGGATTAAAAGGCATTTTTACCACGTATACATGGGATTACATTTGATGATCTAAAGATCCCTTCTGTTCTTAAAAAATGAGAAATCTATGAAGAATCAAATAAAGAAAAAGAAATGGAATGATATTTTTAATCTTCAGAGTTAACTATAGATTCAGTCTTTCCAAAACATCTTATTAAACAGTTGCTTTTACTATACCAGTAGGAGCAAATTTTAGAACTTGAACATATTGCCAGCCAAATCAATCATGTTAATCCTTTTATTTACTCAGAAAATCTTTTTTCTCTTTATACTCAGCTTCAAAGAATGCTTTTATGTAAAATTAAATTAGCTGATTAAATTTAGCTGAAGTATTTATCCACGATTTACTCTTCGCAGCAATGATTATTCATTTTTAAGCTAGACATGAAAACTTCATACAGCACACAGCCAGATCTGACTTGTGTCTCCTTTGCTATATGCTCCAGGTATTATTATGACTATAGTTTTCCACTAATGGATGTGTTGCTGATTCTGTTATTGTAAGCTACTCCAGGAAGATTTGGCAAGCCATAGAAAACTATGCCTTGAAAAAAAAAAAGTGAAATCATGAACTATTAGGGCACTGTTTTCTTTACAAATGAAATAATTATTTTCCACTTAAGACTTTCACTAATATGTATATTTCAGCTTCTGCAATAAGGATACTAAAACGGATTTTGAACTCTGTTACATTCACCTTCTCCAAGAACAAATAAATGATGAAGTAACTTATATAAAAGTTCTGCCCAGATAAGTAATTTAGTTCAGCTTTACTTGTTACATAAGTGAAATGTAAGTGACATATTTAAAGGGAAAACTTTTTTTAAAAAATCCTTTGTTTTTGTTATTAATAGCAAAGTAGGTTAGAAAAGATTCTTTTTTGGGGCAAGACTTGATTTATTTAACTAATTAATATTGTTGTCTATGAGAATTCTGTCATTCCCCTATGGAAAAAGCGCTATGGTCCTTGTCCTACAAAGAGTACTTGGATAATTATGCATGGGAATAATCCTACTAAACTTAATGCAACTACTCTCAAGTGGGAACTTTCGACATGCACTTAAGTCTTTGCAGATCTTTGGCATCTTTCTTTGCAATTATTTCAAATAACTATTAAAAATAAACTGCAAAAAATATTAATAGCTGCCCAATCCTGGAAACCCTTATACACACAGTTAATTATAAACTTGTACTTGGTCCAATACATTATCTACTTAAAGTTTAAAGCTTGCACAACTGAAGTCTACTCCTGTAAGATTAAAAAAAAAATCAAAATGTACTTATCACTTCAATGCAGCTGAAGTAATGCAAAACACTTCACTCAAGTTAGTTCTATTTTCTAGATTTTAGGGATGCTGTAGTAACTTTCAGCATTGCAAGAAATTATTTAAATGTCCTTAACTAAACAAGATGCAAGCATTTCTTTGGGTGTTCTTGGTTATTGGACCAACCACGTAACTGGAATAAAGCTGGCAAACTTTCAAATGAAAGGCATTCTTTTTCAGGTCTCTGATCACAGGAAACTAAGCACTAGGCTTCTTGTGATCCAAGACCTGATGAAGAATGTTTTGCATTTGAAAACTTACCTAACTTCATCCCATCAACATAGCTGGTCCAAGAAAAGATAACACCCAACAAAATTCTTGCCTCTCACATAACTGCTGGACCATTACGGCTACAACATTACTCCTGCATTACATTAATTAAACAAGTGTATATATGCAATATTTTCAACTCCAAGTATTCAGAAATGATTTGGGGCTCCCAATAATCCTGACAACACCCAAAACTCAGCAGAAAAATAATCTCAGCATTTTTTATTTTCCTTTCCATTTCTTAGGCCTTCCAGGTTCCCATTTTTTAAGCTTTTACTTAAAACCAGGAGGGCTAGAAACTTTCATTACAATATAAAAGCAGGGTGAAATTCTGAAATAACTATGTGACTCCAGGATTTGGACTTTGAGAAAATCCCACAAATATTGTGAAAGGTGTCAAATTATATTTATAGTGAGCCAAAAAATGAGTTGGCTTGGTGGCCCTGGTTAGGCAATGAGCATTTAAAAATTGCAAGGGTACAGAAGTAGCAGATACAGTCTTTTTTCAAACGTGCTGGAAGTTTCATAGTTTCATAGTTTCTAGGGTCGGAAGGGACCTGAGCAGATCATCTAGTCCGACCCCCTGCCATGGCAGGAAGAGCACTGGGGTCAAATGGCCCCAATAAGAAGTAACTTCTATTCATATCTCGTGTGCATCCCACAACACGGGGTTAGTAACATGGTGTACCTGATGCACAGCTAGTGCAGATCTACTTGGCCACACTTGTACCTGTGTGGAGAACTGTGTCATATTGACTGCTGCTCACCACCTTCAAACAGCTGTGCAGCCTGCCAGTGAGGTAGATGCCACCCATGGCACGTGCAGGCTGGGCTGAAGGTTCCATAGTTCTTATGGGCAAAAAGCCTCTTACCGCTAGCTTCTTGGCAAGCTCAGAATCAGACCATAAAATTTGGTAAACACTTGGGGGAAATGAAGTTTCCTTTTGAAAGAAAAGTTTCCGTTATATATAGAGGAGATGCAGGATTAGACTTAAATTCTAAACATTCAATCTAGATACCCCAACTTTCTTAACTTTATAAAAGTGTTTTTATTGATTCGTCAGTGATTCTTCTTGTAAAGTAAGGGCAGCAGAGTCTGAACCTAAATTTGGAGCCTGCTAGTAGTAGTGTGTCATTTTAATTATCAGTGATAGCACAAAAGAAATGATTGAAGCAAGGCCTTTAGCAAAGATTTTTTGCAATGGAAAGAAGTACGGTATATTGTTTGAGTTAACCCGAGCACTGAATATTTAATGCAGAAAACATACCGTATGAAAAGGCTGATGAAAAAGCTTTTCAGTCTGAATGTCAGCTTAAATGCTTTGCCTTGCTCTCACAGCATCTCCTGCTTGCACTTCTGGTTCTGAAATGTCACTGCACACCTGTTGGCAGCTCTTCTATTGCAAAAAAAAGAAAGAAAAGAAAAGAAAAGAAAAAGAAAATGGAATCTCTTATTCAAACAGGTCAGTACTTTCTGATATTGGCTTCCAAACGCATGTTTCCTGGAACAGTAAAATGCTCTCAGTCACTCACAATATCATGCCCCTTAAACATCTGGGGCAAGATGGAAGGCAGTTATATTTCTATATCTACTGTACACTTTCAAATAAGACAGCACATACTAGCTTTGTAAAATGGAGTATTTCCATGTAAGAGCCAAACGACTTACAGGACAAATGCAAAAGACACTTCAGAAATGGTGCAGAGCTTTTCTACCACAACCTGGGTGATGGTCACAGCCTTAACCTACATCGCTTGCTCCTCACAGCACCTACCAAAACAGCACAGTCAAAAAGCCCCCAGATCAAGCAGAGCTTTCCATAACTGGAAAACCCCACTTCTAGAGACACCATTATTGCTAATCTTGTTTACATGGAAGGGGTTCAGATATCAGGATGATAAGCACTAGTGGGGGAAAAAAAATCAAAAAAGTGCAAGCGTAAGAACAAGCTTCAGTGAGTCTAAGGTGGCAGGGACTAACCATGGAGCAGCTGCTCTGTGGCAACTGTGTTTGCTTTTATTCCTGCTTTCATTCAGGGGTAAGCTCTAAGAGAAATAAACAGAAGATCTAAAGCAGTGATTCTCAACCAGGGTGCCACAGCACCATGGGGGGCTATGAGAATCTTTTATGGGTGTTGCAGGGTGCCGTGCAGTTTTAGCGCTGATAGGTATGCAAACACTGGGTGCATCTACACATGTATTAATGCACTTTTTCTAATGCATGGGCAAGTTCATGCCCCAGAGGCAGCTGTGAAGCCCTGAGTGGCCAAGTGACTCCTGCCTGGCTCAATCTCTGTTGCAGCCCTCCCTTAATTGCTCGCCTACCATGCCTTCTTACTAGAGGTTGAAAAAGGGAAGCTGCCCACAGAACTTAGAGTGAGCCTTAGTCTATTTGTGGTGCCACTGGGTCTCTCCTGAACCTCCAGCTGCCTTGATTTGACCCTTAAGCTCAAAAGACACTCTCGGCTGGTCTGTGCTTCTGCATAGCCCCTGCAGCTTCAAGGACTCCATGCACATCTGTGCCCCTCCAGTGCACCTGTAGCTTTAAGGGCTTAATGCATAAATCTGTTTTCTTCCCTACACCATGCCCCAAACCTCATGGATGTTCGCTCTCTTTGATCTTAACTATTTGTACACTCGGCCCCCTTGGGACCTTAGACTCCCTCTGCACTCTCGGACCCTTGGTCCTGCATGCAGCCTCTCCTCCAGGCTCTCAGACCTGCGGTCCTGCACACAGCCCTTCCTCTGGGCTCTCGGATCCGTGGTCCCATGCACCCTTCCTCCAGGCTCTCGGAACCATGGATCCACGCACAGCCCTTCCTCCAGGCTCTCGGACCCGCAGTCTGGCTTAGCCTGCTCTGGGCTTGTGGACCCTCTGGCCCGGCTCAGCCGTTCCCTGTGCTCTTGTACCTTTCGGTCCAGGTCTCAGCCTTTCTCTAGACTCTGGGACCCCTTACTGGACTGCACCCTCAGTCTGAGGGCTCCTGGATTACTGGTTCTCTAAACAGGCCTTAACCCTGTCCCTGCAGGGCTCAAGGCTAAACTATCAGTGCAATTTAAATAAACAAGAAGCATCTCCGCCCTCTGGCAGACACTTCAAACCCTCTACGGGTATAACATAAACAAAAGCCACTTTCCTGTAAAACCCAGTCTCTCAGCCCAGGGAACTTGCCTGCAGAGCTGTTCAGCTACATTCAGGTCCCTTCGGGAGCACTGCAGCCAGGAGCTCCTCACTTCATAGCTGCTGGGGAGAGACTAACTGACTGTACAGGCTCTGGACTTATATAGCTCCAGCCTGAGCCCTCTTCCAGTTAGGTGAGTCTAGCTTCCCCAACCCCCTGCAAGCAGTCTCTCAAACTGCTTGCTCTCTTAAACATCCCAGTGCCTTAAACATCCCAGTGCCCTGCTACAGTGCGCATTAAATTTAGTACGTCCGAGCACCTATACAAGTGCACCAAGGCTGCTTCGATGCACTGTAATTACAGCGCATCAGAGCAAACTCAATTGAGTCTGCTGGAACATCGTAACTACTGCACTCCAGCAGACTCCAGTGTCACACATATCAGCGTCCCCGTGCTGAAAAATGGTGGTAGGGGTGCTTTAACTAAAGCCTGTCAACTGAGCTTCAGTTAAAGCACCCCCATTACCATTTTTCAGCACACAGATGCTGATACACATGATGCTTTGGGAGCTTTAATTAGAGCAGCCCTGCTGCCTTCCACTTCCTGCTGGGGCACCACACGGCTTCCCTGCCTGCCTGTGACCCACCCTGTGCTAAGCAATAAGTAGTAAGCTCTAACGAGTTATCAATGGGATTATCAATTAAATGATTAATTATTTAGTCTTACACATCTATAATCAGTACAGGGGAATGAAAATGTAGATTAAACAGAAACTGAATAAAATGCACACTACAGGGCTAAAACCAGTGCAATGAATCCTGGTTTTCCACATATCCAAGGCAACAAAAAAGAAAAACCTCCTCAGGAATCATGCTTATTCCAATTATTACATGTATGTATTTTATTCAATTGTATTTATTTTAGAATGATTCTTTCCCTACATGGGGCAAACTCCATGTATGAAGTGTCTTACTATTCTGTTTTGGGTTTTTTTGATTTGTTGCTCTATTTTTACTGTGAAAATGTAAGAAATACATATAGTTCTGATACAAACAAAAGTGGTTTTAGAGATGGTTTTCTCTCTAAAACTTAAACCACAGATATTGCATGTGCTGGACTAACACTCCAGTAAACAAGGATTGCCCACTTCTGCTGGACCAACACTCCAGTAAACAGGTATAGCCCACTTTTGCCTACACACAGCTGGCCCAATATTCTGGCCAATCATACTGAAATGAAATCATATTGAAATAGATCTTAGAGGAACTCAGGAACAAACCTGTCCCTGTAATCAGCCTCAGTGGTGCGCTGCCTGCCTACTGGCCTTTTTATTAAATTGTGTAAGAAAAAGCATTCTGGGGCTTTCCAAATAATAGAGCATCTCCAGTCAGGCAGGTTTAGGGCAAAGCTGCCAGACATCATTCACTTAGCGTGACATTACTGCACAAGGCAGTCCTGTGCTGTTTCCCCCACATCTCAAGTGGAGGACAATAATGAACAGTTCACGCCCTCCACCACCCAACCTAGTGAGTTGCCTCCCCTGCAAAGTGCTAGCAATTACCATTTAGTAAATTTAAACTTCAATTCCAGAATATTAAAAAAAGGCAGATACAAAGGTGAAAGAACTCTGATCAATAAGCAGCAGAAGTTTATTAAAAATGAAGCCTGCTAGACAAACGCAATTGCTGTTGTAGACTGAATTACAAATACATCCCAACAGTGAATGCTATAAGAGTGTGGATGTCTCTTTCTGAAATGTGGAGGATACTTCACTGTTTATGACATTCAAATTAGACTATGCACTTGAAAAAATAACCCTGCACTGGTGGTTAGAAAGTAAAAATGATCTAGTTCTGCTGGATTTTCCATCCCTACTTTTAGAAACTGTGAATCCTCAAAACTCCTCAAATTGACCTTCCAGTTGCAAATATACCACATCACCTGCTCAGAAACAAATCTCTTAACTTTGAGCACCCAGACTCTCCTGTATCCTGATTGACAATAATCTCTAATGTAGACCCTTCTCCAATTGCCAAACCATTTCATGTCCCATCACTGATGCACCTCATCATACATCTCCTATACTCTGGGCACATCTACATGTGAATTAGTGTGCTGTAGTTACGGAGCATGAAGTTTAGTACCTGTAATAACAAGGACCAACTCAATATGCAGTACGCAGCACTACTGCATAGTAGCACTGGTGCACAACTTTTTAGTGATGCTAAGGTGCAGCAGACTCATTCTACTGCGCATTAGCACAGCTTTTGCTGTGAGGCGCTAATGTTCAGTAGAATTAGTCTACTGTACATTTAGTGTCTCATATAGACGTGTCCCCTGTGTAAGCTTATCACCTCTTTTTTCCAGTAAATTCTTCAAGTGTCTTATGGCTTAAATATCTCCGATTCTTAGATACCACGTGTCAACTCCTAACTGCCAAAACCCTCCCGTGTTCTTCCATAACAGTATTGGGCTGCTGCTTTACTTTTCCATTTTAGAAGTGTAACCATTCTATTACAAATGGCTCTCTTAGCCATACTACATAGGCATGTGGCAGGATATAACAAGCTTATAAGCAGAAATATAATAAATCTATTCCTATCTTATTAAATGTGAATGTACTTCCGCTGCATGTCGGGAGTACAGTTGCTTGGTAGACTTTCACCAGTCACTGTGGTATGAATTCTACAGTTCTCTTTCAGGATGTTCATACTATATTAATGAAGGACTGTAGCATGTTTTCATTAAGGATTGTTTAATCATTGCCCTTTTCCATTAACATCTTGCAGCTACAAAAAATGGCATGCAAATGGAACAATGGTTTCAGAGCCAACTTCAAAATATAAAACATGATGTTCCAAATATCTAATGATATTGTAGAGGCCTGTCCTGTATTCTGATCCTCTCCATACCTATTTCCTCTACAAAATCCAAATTCATTTTTAAACAGATTTGCTATTTATCTCACATGTATTATCTTGTGTATAGTCTTCCATATGTTCTAAGTGAGGAGAAAAGCAGTAAAGTAAGAGCCATAAGGCCTTGATCCACATGCATAATTCCCATTAATATAATTTTCTAGGAATATTTACAACACTTACAAGGCACTGCAGTTTAAAGTATAATCTAGCTTTGACAGGCTCAGGTATCTGCCCTTCCCAGGGTCTGCCACCCCTAGGCTAAGTACAGACAGTCAGAAAGCCCAGGGCTGAATTGATTCAGTCTTCGCAAATTAGTCTAAGCTGCATAGGTTGAACCAATAAGCAAATAAACAG